TATTCATTTGCCGAATGCATGTCTCGGCAAATATTATTTTGGACATCAAGAGAGCGCTAATCTTGAAAGTTGTCTTGATTTCTGTATAGCGAATCCCGAATGCAAAAGTGTTGACTTCGGTAAATAATATAATTATAAATGCTTTATAATCGTATTAATCTCTATTGATAATTGTATTCATAATAGGAAATATGGGCTCATGTCTCATAAATTATGTGACCAGAAATGACTCTCAATTGTTAGTCGGATGCGATAACAAGAATAATGAGATTTGGGATTACTATGAGGTCATCAATGACTCTGAGTGTCCGCACGAAAAGCCAAAGCCCTCACCAAATGAGGACACGTGCGCTAATGTGCCCGGAATTTGTAAAAACGGAGGATTCTGTGAACCCATTCAAAATGATCCGCCGCACCAGTCCTTTACATACGGCTGTCAGGTTTGCATACAATTTGACTGCAAATTGCGATTATATTTAATGTTTGTTATACATGTCCATATAGTGTCCGTGCAATTACTGTGGCAAACATTGCGATAAATGTATTTATAAATCATTTGTATTTTTTTGGTTCAATAACTAATTTGATGTAATTCTGAATTGAAGTAAATATGAAGACTTATAGAAACGGATGTCTAAACACTAGTGTATTGGTTTGGTCTGTGGCTGAGAATAACGGCGATTGTTTGGATATGTGTTTAAATGAGAAGGACTGCAAATCTATCAGTTATAGCGGAACTTCTGGCACTTGTATTCTTCATTGGGGGGACTTATCATCTGAGACCATAATACCGGCGCCTCATTGTCCCTCTTATCGGTCAGATATTACCGATAAAGAGTGGACTTATCACGAAATAATTTGCGACACAAAGACATGTCATTCATCCATTGAGGTTTACAAACAATAATTTCCATAATTTTAACACATTTTTGCACACAATTCTTGAATTTATTTATTTGCCAATAGTTTACATAAATATATTTAAACTCACATTTAGGTGATTGAGTCGAAGGACAAGAGAGGCTGTGCATCTAATCCTTGTCTAAACGGTGGCGAATGCGCCGATATTTTCCAAAGAGGAAAACTTCTTGGCTTTCATTGTCTCTGCAAATGTGGTTATTGTGGCGATCGATGCGAATCACGTAATTATTACAATTGAATTATAGGCAACATTACATTATTTTGCAATTTGTATTATTTATTTCAGATAATTTCAATGGAATACCCGACGCATGCATTTGGGGCTCTCATATATCCGATTCTCCAGTCGATTACTATCGGTATAACTATTGTTTAAATTGATATTAAATACNATACCCCATTTGCCGATCCGTCGATTATAGGTAACTATATTTATCATTATATTTAACCATTACTTCAATTAATAATTTATTGATTACAGTAACAAAGGAGAGTGTCTTCTCAACAATAGGTTAGAATTGATTCACATTTATATAGACTTCAGACAATAAACCTGTAATACATTAATAGGGACAGCGATATCGCAACGGTATCCAAAAATTGCAACAATTATTTGAGACAAAAGTGGACGTTATATGATCTGAGCTGCACTTGTAATAACAAACCAGTTCTTTATTAATTATCAATTATGTGTTTCCATATTTTAAAAAAACAATAAAATTACATAGATTTTTATGAAATTGATTTAAAAAAACAGATGAAAAAATGTTTATTCAATGCGGATATTGATTGTCTTCTGGATCTGATTCTTCAGCGAAGGCGTCCTGACTCGGCAGAGGTTGACTGCCGCCGTATATGACAACCGGCCCGTCGTCGTCGTCCGCTCCAAACACAACACTTCTCTGATACTAACAGTTAAAGCAAACGTCAGTTAATATTAGACTTAAAATGAAAACTAATATAGAAATGAAATACTCGATTGATTTGGGACACAGTGTTCACACCGGAGAGAGGAAAGGCGGCGGGGGTTCGGGCCTCGGAATTGCCGCTCGCAAACTGAGGCATTTGCGATAGGATTTGCTCAAATATGTCGTCCTCTTCCTCATCAAACTCTCCTTCGTTTGGTTCAATCACAGGATTTTCAATGTTCGCCGCATTTAGATTCTGTCCATTACTTCTATTTGTGGTGAAAGTGTTACGAATAGAGTTGGGAAGCGCTGAGCCCTCACTGGACGTCATGTGAATAGAAGTGGTCGGCATTGAATTGATTGGACTCCCATTCTCTTCGGTGAGAACTCCAGTGCTTTACATAAAAAACAATATATTTTAAGTAAAATTGTGTTTAATTGAGAGAAACGTTAGTTTAATACCCCAATAGACTTGGGCTCTGATGTGACGACTGGGCGACTGTCCTATTCATAGACGGAGGAACTGGTGTTAAGCCGTCGGGAAAGTCATGTGTGGCTAATGTAAGTTTTGCCAAATAATAATCGTTTGACTTCATTGCAAACTCAATTGGCCTTCAAATAGACAATACAATTAAAGTCTTAATAAATATAGTGCTAAATATACTGACTTTCCCGACGCCTGAAAGTAACACTCAATGGTTTGGTCTCGAAGTGATGTGAAATCCAAAAATGTCTACAAATAATTCATATTATAAAACAAATATCTTAGTCGACAATAAATTAATTTAACCCTAAGGTCTTTGACATCGAAAGTGACAGTTATATCTTGATTGACACAATAGTTTTGGAAATGTCTTGAATTGTATTCAAATGATGTCATGATATCTGAATTCAAATGCAAATTATAATTTATAACAATTTGTAATAATATATGCTTTGAGTACTAACTCTGCTCTTCGATGTCATCGAAATAACTTTTAAACAGAATTTGTTGTGCTTTTAACCAAAGGGTCACGTCTTTTGTCTCATTGGAGAAGTTATGCAAACATTCGGACAATTGTCTGACAAATAAGACATGAATTTAAAGCTGTTTTAAAAGTAAAATAATTATTAAATAAATACTTTGACTGCACTTTAAATGAGGGGTTCATTGAATTGATAATTGAATTGTACTGCAAATTCGAGGACTCCATATACGGCACAAAGTATTCACGGCTCACACCTGTTATCATATTATTTTTACATGTATTTACAGCACATATGGATCTCTTAATTGATTAGATCTGGAGATCAATGCCTACCGTTTAAGCACTTCATATCAAACACCACTCTCGGCATCGTTTCATCCATAATAATAGTACAGTTTTCCACTGTTTTGTCCAGATTTACGACACGAAACACAAGAATGAGTGACTAAAACAAACAAACATTGAGTCCATGTATTGATATAATGAATGCCAAAAGCAATTACTTTCAAAAGTAGTTTGCATTTCGTGTCGACAACGCATTCAAAGGACGAGAAGAAATTCATATCAAACTGTATTTGAATGAAAGCCGTTTTGTTGTCATTAATGGCCTGTAATCTCATCTATGGTTTGGGACAACAAGAAAATCAAGACGTGATTAAGTGATGGCATTGTCTTCGAGTGACCAATGAGTGGATACTAACGGCGTTATTGTCCACACATATGAGGACATCGGCGGAGATGCGGCCGAAGACACGAACGGCTTTGGA